TGATTCTTAAAAAGGAGTGTGAAGGCCGCACAATCAGTGACAAGGGGCTCCACCTGCTGGTGCCTTTGTGTTGTTGCCGTGTTCCAGGGTGGGTGTCGGCCTTTCCAGCTGATCCCCTAGCCAGGAAACACAACGCTAACACTACTTTGTGGTTAAGGCTACCACAACAACACCTTGCAAGTCTGAAAGCGCAAATCAGCCGCCGTCAGTTTCTGAGTTTCTCCCTCTGTCCGGGCTGCGTCTCCTCTTATCTGACCGTCCCTAAGCAGCACCTCTTCGCCTCAGGCAGCGTTGCTCAACCTTGGCCCCACGAAGATGGGTGGACTTCAACTCCCAGAATTCCCCACCCAGAAAATGCTGGCTGGGGAATTCTGGGAGTTGAAGTCCGCAAGTCTTAAAGGGGCCAAGCCGTAAGGTCATTCCTCCAAACCAGGGGTCTTCAAGCTGGGCCCCTTTTAGGACTGGTGGACTTCAACTCCCAGAATTCCTCAGCCAGGCATGCTGTCTGAGGAATTCTGGGAGTTGAAGTCCACAAGTCATCAAAGGGTCCTAGTTCCCTCACACCAGCTGAGGAATTCTGGGAGTTGAAGTCCACCAGTCATCAAAGGGTCCTAGTTCCCTCACGCCGGCTGAGGAATTCTGGGAGTTGAAGTCCACGAGTCATCGAAGGGTCCTAGTTCCCTCACGCTGGCTGAGGAATTCTGGGAGTTGAAGTCCACAAGTCATAAAACAATCATAGTTCCCTCACGCCGGCTGAGGAATTCTGGGAGTTGCAGTCCACGAGTCATAAAAGGATCATCGTTCCCTCACGCTGGCTGAGGAATTCTGGGAGTTGAAGTCCACAAGTCCTAAAAGGGCCAAGTTTGAAGACCCCTGAGATAAAGCATTCCTACGTACATTCTTGTGCTTTAAGCGAGCTCTGCCAGGGAGCCCAAAGACAAAATCTACAAGTGTGTGTGTTTTGTGTGTGTGTGTGTTTGGGGGGCTCCTATAATTCTTGCAGAAGCCCCTCCCTCCCTGCTGGCAGTTTCCCTCTGGGGCTTTGTAAGGGTGGCAAGGAGAGTGGAAACTGGGTCGGTTTTAGCCCTGCCTTAGGCATGAAAGCTGCTCTGGGCCAGTCACCCTCTCTGAGCCCTGGGAAGGAGACAATGGCAAAGCCCCTCTGGAAAACCTTGCCCGGAAAAGCACAGAGACATGTCCAGGCCATCTCAAGGGAAGAGATAGAAGAGAAGGAGGAAGGAAGGAAGGAAGGAAGGAAGGAAGGAAGGAAGGAAGGAAGGAAGGAAGGAAGGAAGGAAGGAAGGAAGGAGAGAGGGAGGGAAGGAAAGAAGGAAGGAAGGATGGAAGGAAGGAAGAAAGGAGGAGGGAAGGAAGGAAGAAGGGAGGGAGAGGAAGGGAGGGAGGAAGGAAAGAGAGAGGGAGGAAGGGAGAGAGAAGAAGGGAGGGAGGGAGGAAGGAAGGAAGGAAGGAGAGAGGGAGGGAAGGAAAGGAGGAAGGAAGGAAGGAAGAAGGGAGGGAGAGGAAGGGAGGAAGGAAAGAGAGAGGGAGGGAGAAGAAGGGAGGGAGGGGAGGAAGGAAGGAGAGGGAAGGAAAGGAGGAAGGAAAGGAGGGAGAGGAAGGGAGGGAGGGAGGAAGGAAAGAAAGAGGGAGGGAGGGAGAGAGAAGAAGGGAGGGAGGGAGGAAGGAAGGAAAGGAGGGAGGGAGGAAGGCGGGAGGGAAGGAAGGAAAGGAGGGAGGGAGAGGGAGGAAGGAAGGGAGGGAAAGAGAAGAAGGGAGGAAGGAAGGAAAAAGAAAGGAGGGAGAGAGGAAGGGAGGGGTCAGCACCCCACAAGTTAAGACTGGTATAAGCAGATGGCTTATATATATATATAAGCCAATATATATATATATATTCAATCGGACAACGTGCGAAAAAAACCTTGTTATAAAATTCCTCGAGATGAATATCAATATATTATATTTATTGAGACCAGATTGAAGGCCCATTCCAGCAGACAGATGGCTTGCTCTCTTTTTCTGTGTATATTTAAAAAAAAAAAAAAAAGACTTT